CTCCTGAGCAACTTAACTCAGTTATGGTTGTGTTGGTTTTACCTTTCAAAGTAACTCACCTCTCCTCCCTTATGAGGCACGGCTTTCTTTTTAGAACTGGTAAGAAAAGAAAAATAGCCGCTCCCAGGAAAAGGAAAGCGACTGTCCTTTTTTCACTCCCAGCTTGGGGTTATTATCAGCTGCTGTTTTTAAATTATGGCTACCTGGAGGAGAGGGGGATTTTGTCTCCTTCCACTCCTGTCATTTGCCATGGCCCCTGGGAGTAGAGGAGGAGGAAGCTCCCTGTCCAGTAGCTGGAGAGTCAAATTGAGAGTTTGAAGCATGGTTGAGGGAGAAGAAGCACATCTCAACACAGTTACCCAGACAGTCACTTGAGGTAGGAATGAGTTTCAAGAGTGGGATTCCAGGCAATAGAGCCACTTATGGGCTCTAGAAAGAGACTGACAATCAGAGAAAGCAGATGCTTGGAGTCAGCTGAGTGCCCTACCCAGGGAGAGCCTGGTGAGGACCACACTAAGGGCAGAAGGAAATGGAAGACTTGCACCCTACCAGTTGTGAGTTGGCTTGGCCAAATACATCCCCTACATGTGCCCCTCACTATACATTCCAGTGTACTCTATGTGTTCACTCTGCCCACAAACATTATACTTGTGGGGAGGTGTCTAGTGCCCTGATTGACAGGGAAATGTTTCTTAGCTGTTTTTCTTACTCCGTCATCTTACTAAATGCCTTTATTAAATAAGGAATTGTGTCTATTGGCAAACCCTTAGTGAGAATCACACCTTTGATAGCATATGAGCTGTAGTTTGAGGAAGTGGAATTAATGGTGAACTCCTTTGAGCTGACAGTAGCAGACATTCTGTTGTGGACCCAAGCTGAGACTAGCTCAAGTTGTAAGGAATAATGCAGAGTGAGTGCTAGAGTATTCACATAATAATGACAATGTCTCTATAAAACATATTTTCATCATAGTGACCTTTTGAGGTAGGCTGTCTTTTTTTAATCTCCATTTTATGGATGAGGAAACTGAGCCACAGAGAAATTAAACAACATGCCAAGGGTCATACAGCTATTAAATGTCAAACTAGGGGCAGCTAGGTGGCCCAGTGGATAGAGCACTACCCTGGAATTAGGAGGACTTGAGTTCAAACCTGGCCTCAGACATTACTAACTGTGTGACCCTGGGCAAGTCACTTAACCCCAATTGCCACTCCCCCCAAAAAACCCACTACAAACCCAGGACTCCTGACTCTCAATCCAGTGTTCTCTCTCTCCTCATTACTTTTGTTTCTAAGTGTACTCATATTTTTTCTTCTACTGGGATCAAAAGAGCATAGATTTAGATCTGGAAGGAGATCATTTATTCCAGAATGCATTCTATAAATAGAAGTGAGGTTCTAGGTTGCAACAGGTCACAAAGACAGAAAATGGGGAACTCGTTGCAGTGGGTAAAAGAGCCCGACTTGGAGATCGAAAACCTGATCTCTTTACCCCCAGGCAAGTCAGCAGCCTTTCCTAGCTTCAGTGCTGTCACGTGGGGATCGTAGCACCGACCTTGCATTGTTGTGAGGATCAAATGATATACGAACAGTACTTTGAAAACCTAAAGTGCCATGCGATAATGGATCTTATTATTAAATAGCAGATCCAAGAAATCTAATTCAGGTCCTTTGACTTTAAATTGATAAACCTTTCCACTGAACCGCACTATGGGAAGGAGAGAGAGGAAAAGGGAAGTCACAATAGGATTATGACTTAGGGCAATTGGAGGACTGAGTTTACAGGAGGATGAATCCAATTCCCCTGCCTTCCCATCTGGGGTTCCTTCCAGTCTCCTTTCAGGTAGGAGTATTCATCATTGTACCTCTCTTTCATCCTCAGTCTACCCCAGCACAGTGCACTCAACATAGAATGAATTCCATGGGAAAAAGAATAGTACAATGAAGAATGAATGAGTCCTCTCCCTACCCTTTAGTTTATAGTTATCTCCTTTACTTCACATTATCCTGCTTATTCTTATCTGCTTATGTATTGTTTCCTCCAGGAAAATGCAGATGGCGGCGGTGGGAGTGTGTGTGTGTGTGTGTGTGCGTGTGATTATTGTCTTTGTATCCACAAAGTCTAATGCTATGTCATGGAAGATAATAGTAGGTGCTTAATAAATCCTTGTCACATTAGGTTGTATTGAAGCAGATTCATTTACTCCTTTCTCTGAGTTAAACAAAAAAAAAAAAATCCTCTTTCTTCGCCTGTCCCAAAGCAGCAAGAAGGAAGGAACGCTGCTTCGAGAGCCTTCCAGCTGCCTAATTTTAAGGCAGACTAGGTGATTACTTTACTACAGATGCGAGGCCCAGAAAAAACACCAGAGGGCAGTGTTTACCCACGGCTGAGTCGAGGATGTTCCGAGGAGTTTAATGTGGCAGAAATGGTTGGCCTAATCCGTATTTTAAAATACATATTTTTTTTTTTGCCTTAAAGGAGAAGAAAAACTAATCCGATTCCAAACCACATGATTTTGACACATCTCTTAGCTATTCTGAATGGGACAATAGGGTAGTACGTTACCTCCAAGGTTTGAATATTGTCTATCTGGTCTTCACTGGGCAACGAGCTTTCTGAGACGCTCTGCGTCTCTCGAACTCTGTCTCTGTATCTTTTTGTCTCTCTGTCTCCTCTCTTTGTACGCCTTTCTCTTTCCCTCTCAATCTCTACTTTCCTCTTTCTCTCTCTCTCTCTCTCTCTCTCTCTCTCTCTCTCTCTCTCTCTCCTCCCCCTCACCAACGAAGCGACCCAGCACACTGAGATTGCTTGCATTGTGAGAGGTCAGGACGGAAGCCAAATCATTACAACCAAGTTGGTCAGCAACAGGAAAATCTCCCTCCAAAGGCTTTTCATTGTTATGCTTGTTTGAAATACCAAGCTTTGCCTCCCCACCCCTGGGGTTCCTCCCATCGGGCAAAACGCACCACCCTCCCGAGTGCGGGCTGTGGGAGTTCGTGTGTACCAATCTGACAGCTAGAAAGCTGGAGACGCAGATGGGACTCCGTGCCCTTCCCGCAGAGTAAGTCTGCTTCCGAAGGCACAGGTAACCAGCACTCTGGACAGCGCTGGGCGGCTCCAGGTGATCCGGCCGGTGACACACACCTAGAGTCGCTCTATGCCAGGGATGCTGGACAGCAACTTCCCTGCCCTGGTCAGAGAATGGGCAGGAAATAGTTAACGTCTGTCTGCAGGCGGCATTCCCACATGAGCCTTGCTTAATTCCCCCTCCCTCCCCCACCACAGCCCCCTCGTCTTCTTTTCTTTCTCCCCCTGAATTATGATCATTCGAGCATCCTAACGGTTCTCCCTCGTCCCGACCACTAAAGTTATTTCTCTGCAAGACTGACCCACCCCCATCTTCTCGCCGGCAAGCGCTTTTTGTAGCTCCGACGCCTGCCAAGAGTTGACAAAAAAAAAAAAAAAGAAAATCAGGCAGAAAGAAAAGAAATCGCCCCCTTCGTCTTCCCCCCACCCCTCCCGACAGCCGCCTCGATGAGCGTGCCGGTGATCCAATGGGCCACCCCAGGCAGGAATGTGAGGCGGGGCTGAGGTTAGGGTCGGTCCAATGGCACTGGCCCGGGGCGGGCCGGGGAGGGGGCCCGAAGCTAGAGCCGCAGAGAGAAGTGAAGAGCGCCGATCCATGAGGGGCGAGCTAGCAAAGTTTGTGCCGCTCTCTCTCTCCTCTCTCTCTGGGTGCCCGTGCCCGGGTCCGTCGCTCTCTCTCCCTCCTCGGCGTTGGTGTGCATGCACCGTGAGTGTGCGTGCGTGCGTGTGTGCGTGTGTAAGTGCAGCAGAGGGGGAGAGGGGGGCAGCCCCGGAGTTCCAGAGAGAACCGAGCAGAAAGAGGTGGGAGCGACAGCCGCCGAGCTGCCAGCCGCCCTGTGCGCCCAGCCAGCGCTGCCGGAGCCGGAGCCGGGCAGAGGCACGGAGGCGAGCCCCCGGAGCCAGGGGATGACGAAGGGCGGCTAACCGACCCCGGAGAAGCGCTCCAGCCCTCCGAGCCGAGGAAGCCCGAGGCCGAGGCGGCCTCCCTGGGCATGGTGAGGGAAGGGCCCTGGGGTAGCCAGCCCCAGCCTCGGCCCGACTCGGCCCAGCTTGTGAGGAAGCAGGGACTTGTGCTCTCCCTGGAGGAACAAGTGATGGGCGCACAGACGCCCCAGCCCAGGTGAAAATTAAAAAAAACAAAAAAATGCCGCTGGCTGAGGGCCACAGAGCCCCAAGAGAGGCGACGGCGCCGTGGGGGACTGAGCCGCGTCGGGCGTCCGCAGCTAGGACCCGGGCCAAGGAAGCCTAGAACGCCGCGTTGGAGCTGTCGCTGCCAGAAAGATCGGCTCCCGCCGCCGCCTCCCGGCTTTCTGGGGCAGCATCACGGGACCCCGCTTTGGGGAATCTAGACTCGGGGAGAGGCGATTATAGCGTCGCTTTCTTTTCCCCTCCCGTCTTCTGCTCACGCGTTTTTCCTCCACCTCCCTTTTCCTCTCCTTCGGAAGCGTGAAACTTGGAGCTCTGGAGAGGGCGGGCTGCATCCAGCGTCTCCTCCAGCACTGTGAGTACCGACATCTCCCCCAATTCCCCTCTCGTCCAGGGCCCGCGGACTCTTTGGATTAGAAACAAAAGGGAAAAGGGGAAAACCAAACAGCCACCTAGGGGGCTTTGGGGAACTGTCCTGGGGCTTAGCAGTCGTGCCCCGCGGGATGCTCCAGTTTCCCCCACGTCCCCTCTTCAGTCGCAACATGCACGGGACTGTCTCTCCAGATCCCTGGAGCTTTGTGCAGATGGGGTTCGCTTTTCCCGGATTTTCAGCGCCTTGAGAGGGATTGCCTTGCTCTCCTCCGAGCTAGCGGTTGCATTTATCACTGTTCATCGTCATTGTCGTTAGGGGAGGAAGAAGTAACTTCAGTCCTGTAGGCGTCCTTTCCGCTGGCCCTCGGTCAGCGGGCTCCGCCGTTCTTCTCAACATGCCCCTGTGCGCCCCCGGGGCTCGGGGCCGCTGGGGGCTCTCGCTCTCCTCCTTACCTCCTCTCGCCCCCCTCGTCCTGGGGCTGCTCTGGGCGCTGCCAGGCCAGGCCGCGGGGAGCGCCAGCACGGAGCAGCGCCAGATTTTCCAGGTGCTGGAGGAACAGCCTCCTGGCACTCTGGTGGGCACCATCCAGACGCGGCCGGGTTTCACCTACCGGCTGAGCGAAAGCCACGCCTTGTTCGCCATCAACTCCACCACCGGGGCCCTGCACACCACGGCGACCATCGACCGCGAGAGCCTGCCGAGCGACGTGATAAACTTGGTGGTCCTGTCCAGCGCTCCCACCTACCCCACCGAGGTGCGAGTGCTGGTGCGCGACCTGAATGACAACGCGCCCGTCTTCCCCGAGCCCTCCATCGTGGTCACCTTTAAGGAGGACAGCAGCAGCGGGCGCCAAGTTATCTTGGACACAGCCACCGACGCGGATATCGGTTCCAACGGCGTGGACCACCGCTCCTACCGAATCGTGGGCGGTAACGAAGCCGGGCGCTTCCGCCTCGACGTCACCCTCAATCCGAGCGGCGAGGGAGCCTTCCTGCACCTAGTGTCCAGGGGTGGCTTGGACCGCGAGGCCACCGCCCACTACCAGCTGCTGGTGGAGGTGGAGGACAAGGGCGAGCCCAAGCGGCGGGGCTACCTCCAGGTGAACGTGACCGTGCAGGACATCAACGACAACCCCCCCGCGTTCGGCAGCTCCCACTACCAGGCCGGGGTGCCCGAGGACGCGGTCGTGGGCTCCAGCGTCCTGCGAGTCTTCGCGGCCGATGCCGACGAGGGCACCAACGCCGACATCCGCTACCAGCTGCAGGAGGACGGGGGGCCCTTCCACATGGATGCCGAGACGGGGCTCATTACGGTGCGGGAGCCCCTGGACTACGAGGCCCGGCGCCAGTACTCGCTCACCTTGCAGGCACACGACCGCGGCGTGCCCTCGCTCACTGGCCGGGCGGAGGCGCTCATCCAGCTGCTGGACGTGAACGACAACGACCCCGTGGTCAAGTTCCGCTACTTCCCCGCCACGTCGCGCTTCGCCTCGGTGGACGAGAACGCGCAGGTGGGCACGGTGGTGGCCCTGCTCACGGTCACCGACGCCGACTCCCCTGCGGCCAACGGCAACATCTCGGTGCAGATCCTGGGCGGCAACGAGCAGCGCCACTTTGAGGTGCAGCGAAGCAAGGTGCCTAACCTGAGCCTCATCAAGGTGGCCAGCGCCCTGGACCGAGAGCGCATCCCCTCCTACAACCTGACGGTGTCGGTGTCGGACAACCACGGGGCGCCCCCCGGGGCTGTGGCCCGCTCCTCTGTGGCCAGCCTGGTGATCTTTGTGAATGATATCAACGACCACCCTCCTGTCTTCTCCCAGCTGGTCTATCGGGTGAACCTGAGTGAAGAGGTGCCCCCTGGCAGCTATGTGAGTGGGGTTTCTGCCACGGATGGTGACTCCGGGCTCAATGCCAACCTCCGCTACAGCATCATCTCCGGCAACGAGCTGGACTGGTTCCACATCAGTGACCACAGCGGTCTGGTGACCACTGCTGCTGCTGGGGGTCTGGACAGAGAGCGAGCCTCCCAGGTGGTCTTGAACATTAGTGCCAGGGACCAGGGTGTCCACCCCAAAGTATCCTATGCACAGCTGGTGGTTACTGTCCTGGACGTGAACGACGAAAAGCCGGCGTTCAGCCAGGAGGCAGGCTATGAGGTGTCTGTGGCTGAGAATGCCCCCGCAGGGACAGATCTGTTAGTCATAGAGGCATCGGATGGGGACCTAGGGGACAATGGGACTGTCCGATTCTCCTTACAGGAGTCTGAGACTGAACGGAGGTCCTTCCGTCTGGATCCTGTGTCCGGAAGACTGAGCACCATCTCGTCTTTGGACAGAGAAGAGCAGGCTTTGTACACCTTGCTGGTCCTGGCTGTAGATCTCGGCTCTCCTCCCCAGTCTTCCCTGACCCGGGTCAATGTGAGTCTCTTGGATGTGAATGATAACAGCCCTGTGTTTTATCCAGTCCAGTACTTTGCTCATATCCAGGAGAATGAGCCAGCTGGCAGCTACATCACCACTGTGTCTGCCAGTGACCCAGACTCAGGCCCCAATGGGACTGTCAAATACAGCATATCGGCTGGAGATATATCTCGTTTCCAGATCCATAGCCACACTGGAGTGATTTCCACAAGGATGGTCTTGGACAGAGAGGAGAAGACAGCTTATCAGCTGCAAGTCGTGGCTACAGATGGGGGGCACCTGCAGTCCCCCAACCAGGCCATCGTGACCATCACTGTGCTGGACACTCAAGACAATCCCCCTGTCTTCAGTCAGACGACCTATAGCTTCGTGGTCTTTGAGAATGTGGCCTTGGGATACCATGTGGGAAGTGTTTCTGCATCTACCATGGATCTGAACACCAACATCACTTATGTGATTACCACTGGAGACCAGAAAGGGGTCTTTGCAGTCAACCAGGTCACAGGGCACCTGACTACAGCCAGCATCATTGACCGGGAAGAGCAATCCTTTTATCAGCTGAAAGTGGTAGCCAGTGGGGGCATGGTGACAGGAGAAACCATAGTGAACATCACAGTGAAGGACTTGAATGACAATGCCCCCCATTTTCTTCAAGCAGTGGAATGGGTGAATGTGGTTGAGAACTGGCAGGCAGGGCATAGTATATTTCAGGCCAAAGCCTTGGACCCTGACGAAGGGGTCAACGGCATGGTACTCTACAGCCTGAAACAGAATCCCAAGAACCTGTTCGCCATCGATGAAAAAAACGGCAACATCAGTTTGCTCCGGCCTTTGGACGTGCATGCTGGCTCCTACCAGGTAGAGATCCTGGCGTCAGATAGGGGGGTCCCACAGCTCTCCTCCAGCTTCATTTTAACTGTCTCTGTCCATGATGTCAATGACAATCCTCCAGTATTTGACCAGCTATCCTATGAGGTGACCCTTTCCGAGTCACAGCCTGTGAACTCCCTGTTCTTCAAGGTGCAAGCTTCTGACCGGGACTCAGGAGCCAACGGTGAAATTGCCTACAGCATAGCAGAAGGAAACACGGGGAATGCATTTGGCATTTTCCCTGATGGTCAGCTGTATGTAAAAAGTGAGCTGGACCGAGAGCTTCAAGATCGGTATGTCTTACTGGTGGTTGCTTCTGACCGAGCGGTGGAGCCTCTAAGTGCTACTGTGAATGTGACTGTAATTTTGGAAGATGTAAATGACAACAGGCCACTGTTTAACAGCACTAATTATGTATTTTACTTTGAAGAGGAGCAGAAGGGTGGGTCATTTGTGGGGACGATAAATGCTATTGACAAAGACTTTGGGCCAAACGGTGAGGTGAGGTATTCATTTGAAACCATGCAGCCTGATTTTGAATTGAATGCCATCAGTGGGGAGATCTCCAGCACTCACCAGTTTGACAGGGAGTCCCTCATGAGGCAGAGAGGAGCTGCCGTTTTTAGCTTCACAGTGACAGCATCTGATCAAGGCCTCCCCAAGCCTCTCAAGGATCAGGCAACAGTACAGGTGTACATGAAGGATATCAATGACAATGCTCCAAAATTTCTGAAAGACTTTTACCAAGCTACCGTATCAGAACTGGCTCCCAACCTGACCCAAGTTTTACGTGTCTCTGCCTCTGACGTGGATGAAGGCAGCAATGGACTGATTTACTATTCCGTGGTCAAGGGAAATGAAGAGAAGATGTTTGCAATAGATAGTGCCACTGGCCAGGTGACACTGGCCGGTCAATTGGACCATGAAGCCACAGCTTCTTACTCCCTTCTAATTCAAGCAGTGGATTCTGGGACAGTTTCCCTTAATTCCACTTGCACCTTAAGCATTGATATCTTGGATGAAAATGACAACACACCTTCTTTTCCCAAGTCTACCCTGTTTGTGGATGTTCTGGAAAACATGAGGATTGGTGAGCTTGTAACCTCTGTCACAGCCACAGATTCGGATTCAGGGGACAATGCTGATGTTCATTATAGCATCACTGGGACTAATAACCATGGCACCTTCAGCATCAGTCCAAACACGGGGGGTATTTTTCTTGCCAGAAAATTGGACTTTGAAACACAGCCTTTGTACAAGTTGAACATCACAGCAAAAGATCAAGGGAGACCCCCTCGATCATCCACAATGTCAGTGATTATCCATGTACGGGATTTCAATGACAATCCTCCTACCTTCCCTCCTGGGGACATTTTTAAATCGATTACTGAGAACCTTCCTATTGGCAGCTCTGTTATTTCTGTGACTGCTCATGACCCTGATGCTGATATTAATGGGCAACTAACCTATGCCATCATTCAGCAGTTGCCAAGAGGTAATCATTTTGGCATAGATGAAGTCAAAGGGACCATATACACCAATGCTGAAATTGACCGGGAATTTGCTAACCTCTTTGAATTAACTGTAAAAGCTAGTGATCAGGCTGTGCCCATAGAAACTCGGCGATTTGCTTTGAAAAACGTGACTATTTTGGTCACAGATCTTAATGACAACGTCCCTATGTTTATATCACAAAATGCCCTGGCAGCAGACCCTTCAGTGGTGATTGGCTCCATCCTTACCACAATTGTTGCTGCTGACCCAGATGAAGGGGCCAATGGAGAAGTGGAGTATGAGATAATCAATGGTGACACAGAGACCTTTATGGTGGATCGGTACAGTGGAGACCTAAGGGTGTCCTCGGCTCTGGTGCCTTCTCAGCTGATCTACAGTCTGATCATTTCAGCCACAGATCTTGGTCCTGAGAGAAGGAAGTCAACCACTGAAATGACAATCATTCTTCAGGGCCTCGATGGGCCTGTTTTTACTCAACCTAAATATATAACTATTTTAAAGGAAGGGGAGCCCATTGGTACCAATGTCATCTCCATTGAAGCAGCCAGCCCTAGAGGAGCCGAAGCCCCAGTGGAGTATTATATAGTTGCAGTGCGATGTCAGGAAAAAGCTGCTGGACGCCTCTTTACAATTGGACGTCACACAGGCATCATCCAGACTGCTGCCATCCTTGACCGAGAGCAAGGAGCACACCTCTACTTGGTGGATGTCTATGCCATTGAAAAGTCAACCGTCTTCCCTAGAACCCAGAGAGCTGAGGTAATGTTTTTGTTCATATTATTTGTTCATTGTTCACATGTTGGTTTTCTACATAAATCATTTGCTTTATGTCTTTTTTTTTTCTATAACCACACGCCTTTATTAGGCTTCCTTGGAGTTTCTGGAGAGTGTAGCAGATACGTAACAAAACAAGCATGCTTTATTACAACAATGTTGTTCTCATTGGTTATTGTTACTGTCGAAGTTGTTTAAGAAGAGTTTTTAATCGTGGTCAAACAGAGATCTTCAGGTAGGACTGGATGACCACTGGCTAGAGAATATGTAGGGGGCATCACATACTTGTTGAGGCGTGGACTACATAGCCTCCAAAGTTTCTTTTTAACAGGTATTTTGAGATTCTGTCATGATACAAATTCCAATTAAAGAAGTCTTTCTTGTTTATTTCATTTCTTTTCATATCTTAAGTATTATAATATGTTTAAATTATTAGTCAAATGCCAAATCCAATTCCTTGGCAATCTCAGAAGAGAGACGACATAACAACAAAGGGTCAATGAAAAACATATAACATTTAAATTCTTAAATTTTTCTGGGTCTAAATATCCTAGAGTATAACCCAGGGCTCTTGTGAACATGACAATGGTGTACTGAAAGAAATTGAAAAAATTTCTGAGGAGTTAATATTATTGCTATCAGGGCAGGCCACTGATTTATTTTCACCATTTGGAACATCAGACCATGATCCTTTTCCCCAGAGTGGTATGGTGAAACCTTCTCAGATTAATGTTCTTAAATGCATATATATGCATTTAAAACATTAATTCTATATGAACATTATGCATGTACACATATGCATACATGTATGCACACACATATGTAAAACTTTTAAATGTGTACATATATGCATATACATATACATATATGTACACACACACACACACACACATACACTGATTCCATAAATTCATGGGCCCCAGATTAAGAATCCCTAATCCAAATGAATAATTTCCAGATTTGTAGCAGTTGGGCCCAATAGATGACACACATATTTATTGTCAGTCAGAAGACTTCCCTTTTGAAATAGGGAAGATTTCTACAGGTTAGCATCCATCAGATCTGATGTAGTTTTATTGAGGGAAATGTCATTATGCAACTTGGACAGGCAAGACTGTGGTTTCAACAGTTGTGTTACCAATGTAACTATAGTTGGCTGAGATAAGTTTCCTGAGATACCTCCATATCTTTTGCAATATCCTGAGACTACTGGTCATCTTCTTTCCCTCATGGAATGCAGTGTATAATGTGTCATGAATGAACATTGTTGTGTGTCAAATATGATGAAAGCTATAAAGTACTTTGCCTCTTGAGACACATCAGTATTGTGTCCATATTGTTCCATGTTGTTCCATGTGTATAGCATGCTTGACTTCCACTGGAAATAACTAAGTTCACTATCTCTCCAAAGATCCTTCCCTATTGGTATTTTAGTAATTAGAATTTGTGTACTTTGAGCTGAAGATGACATAGGCCATCTAGAAAATACTCTTAACAATTGAGAGGTATGTGTGTGTGTGTGTGTGTGTGTGTGTGTGTGTGTGTTGTGTTATTCTGGCCAAAAGATCACTTGTTATTGTATTTTGTAAAAACAATGATGCACATACAATAATCTTAAGTAGCAAAATGGAGAGAACTCTGAAATAGACTCCATCTGAACTGTTTTTTTTTTTCATTTGCTGTTTTTCAAGTATTCTTTCCCCCAATCCTTCAATGCAAGGCTCTGTCAACCAGCCAAAAACGTCTACTATCAGTGTGGTTTGTGATTCTTGGCAGAGGACCAGAGACCCCTGAGCTAATGATCCTGGGACCCATGCTTTCATTGTTTTGTGGGTAGCCTTTTCATTTTTAAATCTTCATTTTTTTAAAAGTTTTTTTCCTCTTAAGGACTGAGCCCTGCCTGTACTTTGGTTGAGTGAGCCAGATATATCTGTGGTACTCTGTGGACAATGCTGCATACTCGGGGATTGTGAGAACAAGTTTTTTTTTTTTTTCCAGCCTCCTGGTTTAACTCTGCAAATTAGTCTCCAGGCCAAGTTTCCTTCTCAGACTATGTCTTCTCTTGTTTGGTTTCTAAGTCACCAGCTCTTGTCTTTTATTTCTTAAGGATAGAAGTCTAAGATAGATAACTTCTCTGCTTAGTGTGCTGTTGGCTGGAATGGTGATTTTTTTTTTTTACTTTGGGTCTTTTTGCCCCATTTGGCTGCTTTCTAAGGGTGGAAAACTTTTGACTAGTTTGTAAACATAATTATTTATTCTGTGCAAGAAATTAAGCCATCCCAAGCTGAAAACGGATTTGCTAAAATGTGTGAAATCACTTATAAGATGCTTTTTGCCACTGGGTAAACCAAGCTCATTATAGAGCATGAAACGTTGTAGGACAATTGGAATGGTATTGCTATCATTAAAAACTAAAAATGTCAAAGAGCTTTGTCTTGTACATTATATATTCATTTTTGAAAAATGTCTAACTACTACCTTAATGGGACACTATGAGCATATATATATGTATATATATACATGTATATATGTATATATATATGTATATATATATATATTTAAAAGACAATAACAAATTAGTTTTCTTAAGGTTGGAGTTAGAGTCTTTTTCAGCTGTGTTAAAGGTATCACATAAAGTTTTGGGGGAACTGTCATTGCTGTTCATTGGCATTTTGAGAACTGATTGGATTCAAGAAAGTGATCTTATTCAGTTCTCTCAAAAATTGTAAGGGTTAAAATAACTTCTGTGAACTAAAGTGCTGAAACTGTAAACCAAGTTTAAGTTACTGAGTAGAAACCACTCCTAAAATCAAAAGCAAATGTGTTTCTGCTCCCAGAATATTGAAAGCAGTTGCTGGGAGCTAGAATTTCATATTATTATTGGTCGCATCTTCTGAGTATATACAGCAAAATCCTCTCTTTTTTTGTCAGCACAAACATAATTAATTTACTGTGAGTTTTAAGGAATAAGTTATAAATTATCAGCAGTTGTCAAGAGTTGGCTTTTAAAAAAATTCTTTCCCATTTGCGATCTTTGCTCCTATGCCTTTGATAATGTACCCTGCAAGGGGCTCTGGCTGCTGCCTCAGAGTGCTAAGCAAGGACTTGGGCACATCACATTCCATGGCAAGCCAGTGAGGTCATTTCAGCTGCATTCTTTCTCCTACTTTGTCACTGGAAGCAGAAGACTGCGTAAAATCATGGGTCCATCCATTGTATCCCCTTGCCTTGCCTTCCCTTCTTCTCTATCCCTTCCTTCCTTCCCATTCCTTCTCTATCTTCCTCCTTCCTTTCCCCTTCATCCTTTTATCCCACCTTTCTCCTCCCTCTCCTGCCACTTCATTCCTCTCCCCCTTCTCTCCTGTTCATCTTCCCTTCCCTCTCTTGTTGTTCTCTCACCCTACTTTCCCCTCCTCTTCTTCATTCTCTTCTTCTTCTTCCTTTCTCCTCTCCTTCACCTCTTCCTTCCTTTTCTCCCCTACTCATCTTACCTCCCCTCTGTTGTTCTCTTTCCCTCTCCCTTCTTTCCCCTCCTCTTCTCCATTCTCCTCTTCTTTTTCTTCCCTCCTTTCCTCCTCTCCTCCCCCCTCCTATTCTCCCCCTCTCTCATCTGTTCTTCCCTTCTTTTCTTCCCTCTGCTCTTTCTCTATCCTCCCCACTCCCTCTCTCCTTCCTTAACGACCTTCCCTCCCTCCCTGGTTACCCTTCAAAAATGTTTCTTTTCTACAGTTTCAGAGCCACTATATCTCAAGCCTAATCCTTTTATGCCCAAAGCTACTTTAGGCTACTTCTCCAAAGTGGAGATTTTCTCACCTTCATTTCTCTTTCCAACTCTCCTCTCTCTCTTTTTTTTCATTTTCAAATCAAGAGGACAATTTCTTTAGGATTAAAGAACCCCCAGTGTGAGCAATTTTGCTCCTGTTTGTGTACTACAATCCTGTCTTCTGGGTTCAGAGTCTGGTAGATGCCTCATCATCCCAATCCAGCCAATAGATTTACTTCCTTTTCTTTCTTAGGTATAGGTGGGTAGTTTAGCAGAGAAGGCAGTAACAACACTGCTCTGCAGACCACAGCCATCTAGAATCTGGATTTACTCAGAACAGCCCAACCTCACATTAAGCTTTACAATCAGAGGTAGACACAGAGGCTGCTTCTGGCTCTGGCCAAAGTTCATGGAATGGATTATGGGTCCTTAGAACTATGCACGTTATGGATCCAGGTCACATAATCACCAGAGAACCAGTTGTTAGAGCACAGGACAAGAGATGAAGAAGTCAATCCTCACTTCAGGACCTGGCTATATAGGTAGTAGATATGCTTTAAGCCAAGTGAACTAGATTCTTAGAAATGGGTTGAGGTAAGGGTAGAATGTGGAAGAGCCAAATCTACAAAGATTTCCAGAAGCATTAAAGAAAAGTGCCTGTAGCCCAGAGGAGGATTCTCTGAGAATGAGACAGAGAGCAATCTTCTTTACCAAGAAGGTCAAGGACTAGGAAATCAGCCTGTCAGCATCTGGGCAGCTGCAGGACAAATATCCAACCTAGGACCAGAATGAATGACCAGAGGACAACCATGGCTCAAGAGAAGACAAGGAGATAGGATCTAACAAGGAATGAGCATCTTACCACTTCTAACAGTGGTTTCTCAATAGTGTTTCTACATAACAGAAATAATAAGAGCTACCATTGAAATAGTGCTTACTATGCCAAATGCTTTCAGTTATTATCTCATTTGATCCTCACAACAACCCTGCAAGATAGGTGCTATTATTATGCCCATTTTACAGATGAGGGAACTGAGGCAAAGGTTAAGTGATTTGCCCAGCATCACATAGCTACTAAACATCGGAGATCAGATTTGAACTCAGGTCTTCACGACTTCAGGCCTGGTGTTCTATCCACTGCACAAAAGTCTGAACAACTGGATTTAGGGGATTCCTGACCCATATAGTTGAGGCAAAGAAAGGGAACAGGGTACCGGTATTT